GGCCCGGCCCGCGGCCCGGGTACGGCCGTGCTGCCTCAGGTCAGAGTCCCGCATGAGTCAAGCGGCCGACACCTCAGCGCGATCACACGGTCAGGCAGGAGGAAGCACTTGGCGCAGTTACCGTGCTTGGGTCACTCCTCACACGTTGCACCGGGTCCGGAATTCCAGCAGAGGCGGCTCCGGGCTCAGCGGAGATGCCTCCAGCCTCACCTGTTCCCTCCTGCCCTGTGTCACATCCCGTCACCTGCCCTTTCCTTAGGAGCTGGTGGCCTCACCTGACCGGCTCCGGGCAGTCCCGTCCTACCCGTAGCGACCAACACATCCGCTCAACAAATCCAAACAACCCGCAGCCTGACGGGCATCCTCATAGCTTGTGGGGAGGACCAGGGCTTTGCATTCCAGTCCCTTCGGCCAGGCAGGCTGCCCCAGGCAGCCAACATCGACCACTGAAGGCACAGACAGCCTCCAGGGTCCAAGTGCAGCTGCGGCTCCTCCTGGCACGAAGCACTGCCAGGCAGTACAGAAATTGGCCACTAAAAAATAATAAAAAGCTTTAATGTCTTAAGAGTAAACCAATAATTGCACAGTATAAATAAATAACAGACAAATTCAAATAAATAATACATGGTTCAACATGCAGCTCTGTTCAAAAGCAAACCATGACCTCATGGAGGGGCTTTGTCTTGTCTTGACCTGGCATGCAGCACCCCAAACCATGACAAGAGCCCCTGGCACCCAGCAGCTGCCTCGCCAAGTCATGGCTCACAGACCAGCTTTGATCTCTGGAGCCTGAAGGGCAGCAGCCAAGGTGGTTGGGGAAACATGGAGCAGGGATGGCTCATGGGCTGACAGCTCAGATGCCAGCAGACAGACCCACTCTGGCTCACAGCCCTGCCCAGCAACGTCCGTGTCCCAGCTGCTGTTTCCCACTGCTGTACATTTAAAACTTTTTGCCTAAAAATAAAATGCTTTCTCTCACACTCCAGATCAGCCCAGTGAGTCCTCGCAGCAGCAGGTAGAAAAGCATCAGCCCCCTTTCACAGGCAGGTATGAAACAAACCCAAAAGCATAAACAAAGTTCCCTGTTGAAGCTGCAAGACATGACATGGCTGGGCCAGGACAGAACTGCAGGATCTTCAGAGGGACAGCCCCGATTTACCCATTCCTG